GGGGAATGAGGGATGGAATACAGAAAGGGACAACTGAAACTATGGGCCATTTGTGGTGTGGAGTCATATGGAAATCCATTACTGTGGAAGATTTCTAAAACATACATATATCAAGGCAATATAAATAGGACTACCAAATAATGCAAGAGACAGAGCTCTGGTCACCAAACAAAGCCTATCATTTCAGGAATAGGTCACATATAATCATGTTGTTAAAGAGCCCTATGGGAACTGCCAATGCTATTGGTTATTCTTCACAAACTGAAGGCAGGAAAAAGGTGGACAGTAACACACCTACAAATCCTTTGGTCTATAACGATAACATCTCTTCAAGATATGCTGGTTCAATAGTGGCACAAAGGCTGTGGGACAAACAAATCAATATCTTTTTTACTTAAATCCCAGCCCAGAAGATGAAGTCTATCTACAACACTATTTGGGTGGCCAAGAACCTGAGACCACATTGCCTAGGGATCTGGGGGAATACAAACAGTGCTTCTCTGCTAAAGGAACATAGCAATAAAATGACTCCTAATGATATTTTGCTAAACTCATGGACCAGCTTTTGCTCATCCATCATCAACCGTGTTTTCTAGAGTACATGAAAATAAATAGAAACCCACAGATGCACAAAGTACAGAATGAGAGACCTTGGAATCCTCTGTCTTGAGTGGATGTTTCCATCAAACCCTCACCTCAGGGTTCAGGGAACCTCGCAGGAGAAAAAGCTGAGAAACTGTAAGGGCAAAGGGGAATGGGAATGCCAAAAAACAAAAAATAAAAACAAAACAAGAATTATATGAACTGACAGAGACTGCATAAGGCCTGCACGGGTCTGTAGAAGACAGTTACTAATGCTGAGAAAAACAGCGAACACAGGTCCCCATTCTTAACTTAGAAGCTATCTTCCATAAAACATCTAGCAAAGGAAAAATAGTTTTTCTCCAACGAAGTCTCACTGGGCATAGAAAGGACTCTTATGTGTAGACCACAGGCCCAGCAACAGATGGTCAACATAAAATTAACGCATGGCATTTTTGTTCTTTGTATCATAATACTTTGTCAGGGATTTTACTTTTTTATATTTATTTATTTATTTATTTATTTATTTGTTTATTTATTTATTTATTTATTTATTTATTACCTTACAGATCTTTGTATGTATATATCATGATTAACGTTCCTGTGTTTTGGGATTTTTGTGTCTCTGTGTCTATGTTTTTCTTGTGCTTTCTTTACTTTTTTGTATTTGTTTGTTTATTTTGTCCTATTTGTTTTTGTTTGTTTTGTTGTACTTTTTTTTTTATTATTTTTATGTCTGTTTGTTTTTGAATAGAAAGAAGACAGGATGTAGACTTGGGTAACAGGGGAGGTGAGAGTATATATGGGAGGAGTTGGATATTGGAAAGTAGTAATTAAACATATTGAATAAAACTTATATTCAATGAAAGAAACACACACACATGCACAAGTTCGTGCACACGTGCGAGCACACACACACGTCCACAAAGAGAAACGGGCAAAAGTCCAATAAATGTCAATAAAACCAATGTAGTACATTAATGACAACATCATTATTTTAATAATGGGCTACGTTTTTGTGAGACAGCACATTGGAAATTTTCCTTTAAAGACTGTGGGGACTAATTTTGGTTGTTAACTTGACTACATCTGGTATTAACTAAAGCTCAAGTGCCTGGGTACACCTGTGAGGGATTTTTCTTAAAGGAATCATTTGACATGAGAGAATCCACCCCCACTGTTGGATCCTTTGAGGTGGGAAGGTACACCTTAATATTGGGCTAGTATTGGCAGCCCACATAAAGGTCATGGAAGGAAGACTTTTTGCCTATGTGTCCTCAATCTTGCTGGCAAGGTCATTCCTTCACTGGTGTTAAGAGCCTACATCTTCTGTCTTCTGGCCTATGCTGAAGGCCAGCTGAGACAGCCAGCCTAGATGACCAAACAACTGCTGGATTCTTGGACATTTCATTTGGGAAAGAGTCATTGTTGGTGTAATGTGACCATAATAAAGCCACTAAAATAAACCCTGCTCATATATATGTATTAATTATTAATAATAATAGATATTCATTCTGTCAGTTCTGTCTCTTTAGGTGATCCTTTATTCTACAAAGACCATGTGCGGTGTCTCTATTGCATTTTCTATTATGGCATAAAATTCTACAATGTTAAGTTTTAAGAAGTATTTAATACAAAAAATGAAATACCATGTGACAGTTTTAAAGATAATTTGAACAAATAGCTGTGGAGGTCCATGGTCGCATGGTGGGCAAAGGAGACTGAATAGCAACTAGCCAATGAACAAAATTATATATTTTGTAAGTGATACATTTTGCAAATGATGTAGCACAAAGCACATGTTTTGTAGTTTTACAGAGAATATTCTTCTTGGGAGGAAAAATCAGGGCTTAATTTTGTATTGGTGTGTGCCCTTGGAATTTTTTTTTAGGACTATTTGATGGCATTTGTGTTTGTGGATCTGGATTATAAAATTCTTTGACGCTGTTCAAAGCTAGAGAGTTTAGAAATAAAAGTGAGGACTGTTACTAGGTGAATGTCAGGGCTAATGTAAAGACTAGAATCATGACACCTAGCATTACAACAGTCAAGGTGAACTTCAAGACAGAATACACATAGATAGAACTGGACTAGTATTATGTGTGTAAACAATGAAATTCGTGGTATATGTGATCAGGATAGCTCCATAGCCTTGAATATCATCGTATACCGATGCTCTGGTGAATGAGGTAATCCATTTGCTTTCTAGATTATCTTGGGATATTTAGGAAAGTATTAATAGTATGTTTTTTTTTAAAATTTGTTTTATTGTAGCATTCATTTTCAAATAAGTTAGCTTGACATTATGTTTCTTTTTTTCTCCTTCTTTTTCTGAAGCGCTACTTTAACACCTCTTGTGCTGGACATATGCAATGGCAGCCAAGTAACCAGGACAAAACGGGTAAGTGCTCCAGTTACTTTTGCTTATAGAGTCAACCACGCCACGTTCTCTAACAATAAGAAAGTTCCATTATACTTTCTTGACTTCACTTGAAGAGAACTGAACACTGTATTTCTGGTACAAATGTTAAAATAAGACGTCCTCGCTGAAATCGAAAGTGTAATATTCACCTGAACAGCATAAGCTATGTGACCCTCAACGATTTACAATGTCTTTGAAGCTGCCAAGAGGTGGCAAAAACACTAATTTTAACTGCAAGATAACAAATTGTATTTCTTTTATGATATTCCTGCCGAGGTGAAAATGGAAATTATTGATGCTGGGAACAGTGCCATGGTGCTGTTAATCACTGCATTGCTATTAATTGATTTCTCTAGGCATGAGCCCAGACATGCTAGGAACCACTTATCAGACCCCTCGCCCACTCACCAAAGCCATTTGATACCTCTTAGAGAGTAGAGGTTTCAGAAGGAAATGCATTTTGGTTAAATACCAGAGATATCTCTGTTTGGCACAGTTGATGATCAATTTAATCTAATTAGTAATTGGTTAACTTCTGGAATTTGAGAATAATGAATTGTTCTTTCCTCTGCATTACTATAAAAATAATTTGAAATTATGGTGAACCAACCAAGGACCATGAACCCCCTGCTCAGATGTAGCCCATGGGCAGCTCAGTCTCCTTGTGTGTTTCCTAGTAAGGGGAGTAGGGGCAGTCACTGGTATGAACTCCGTTGCCTGCTCTTTGATGAACTTCCCCTGACAGGGTGGTCTTACTAGGCCACAGAGAAAAAGGACCCAGACAGTCCTGATGAGACCTGATAGGCTAGGGTCAAATAGTAGGGAAGGAGGACCTTACCTATCAGTGGACTAGAGGTAGGCAGGAGAAGAGGGAGGGGGCTACAGCTAGGATACAAAGTAAGTAAGAAAAATTAAAAAAATATCCAATTCATAATTTCATCTTTCTATGAAGAACCTTTGAGAATGTCGTTATCTTCAGCTATAAAGGAGTAAGTGTTCTTCGTTGTTCAATATAACTAGAGAATGTATCCTGTTTCGTAAAAGAACAAAACAAAGTGAAACTCTAAATAGGCTAAATTTCTAAATACTAGAAGCTAAACTCCAAATTAATTTTTTTCTTCTTCCTTCTTTCCTTTCTTCCTTCCTTCTGTCCTGTTCTCCTGTAAAATATCTAGCCAGTAATACAATGCATAAGAACATATATTAAAGAAAATGATAAATAGATAATGATATATTCAAAATAATGACTAAGTTTTTACACAATGACCATGTGCCTCATGTAGAGAAAATTGGAGGGCTATTATCCAAAGTATTAGAAAGTTTGATTGAATGATTATTTTGCCCTTTTCCTTATTGGTCTGTTACAGTAGTAGAAAAAGAAAGAAACAAAGTGCCTCACTAATTGATCTGAACATTATATATTAAAAGTTTAAAATGGAATTGTTCAAGACCACTGTCATAAATGAGCACAATATTAACATTTCGATGTCAGGTTCTCATCACAGAATTATGCCGGCTACAAAAAGACACACCGTGACTAGTGCAGCTACTGATGGGAACCACACCAACAAAAATCTTATCTAAAGGGAGATGCCAAGAGAAAATAATTCCTGAATTAACATATGTTCTTGTAACTTACACAGTATATTTATTGTCAAAAATAGGCCAAGGCATAAGAGATAATGAGGTCATAATGTTGATACTAAGTGCAGATAATAGAAAAATTATAAGAATAATGATAAAGAATAGCCATTAGGAATTGCAATTTGTATCTTGTTATATTGAGGCTGCATAGCAAGTGGTAAAACAAATACATAATGTAATATTTCTATGGATATTTTTACATTTAACACCCTGGTAGTTCAAATTATTCAAAAAAAAAACACTTTGTAGTGTTACTTGGATAAAGCTTGTACACAAATACTTATACCACCACTGAGCTGAACTGCATTAATTTTTTCAACACAGGCAGCATGTTTGAAAAAGAAATACGGTTTGGCTCTTCTCCCTGTTGTGAGTCAGTGATAAGCAGGAAAGGCTAAACATCTGCTGTGGTAAGACCAGGCGTGTGTGCTCAGACCTAGTTCTTTCCCTGGGCCGGGTTTCTTAAATGTTGGTGACAAACAGGTCTGCTTTGAATGTTTTGTGTAATCATGTGAAGCCTAAGATGCCAAGGTTCCTTTAATTAGCCTTAAGAAAAGTGATATTGCAGTTACTCTAATAATTTTAAGATAATCAATTTTAAACTGCGTTCTTCTCTGAAGAATGTGTGGCCATTGTAGGGGAATTCTGTGATTACCAGTTGCCATTAAGTGAAATGTAAAACTGCTATTTTTATTTTCAAGAAAAAAGAAATACAAATTATATGAAGCTTTGAATATTTGAATCCTTTCTTAGTTTTGAAGATAACTTTTGCTTGGTGCTCTCTCTTGGTATTTCAACTTAAGTTAAATGTCTGTGGTAAACTTTTTAAATTGTCTGTACCTCTAAGTAAACTCTATAATGATACTTGCAGTGGAGGTTTTGGTTTATTTAAAATAACTTACTTCAGGGAAAGAAAAAAAAGTTAAGTATTAAATTCAGTATAATTGCTGAAGAAAGAATATTTATGAGACTGAAAACCTGTAGGTAAGTTTTTGTATTGGAATAAAAGATCACATTTAAAGCTGATACTTAATTGAAATAAAAATCAATAAACAGTTGAATGCCGATTAACAACAGAGCGTGGTATGAAATAGATGGGTCATAAATAATGGAGAACAATTTGAAGACTCAATGTAGGCATATTAAAAGTTGAATTCCTTGTGTTTTAAAACCAGTGATGCTATAGTAGAGAAGTTCTAAAGGAAAATGATGATAAATAGCCACTGAAGTTAGCACAAAGGTCAAGTGGGATACGTAACGTGCCACTTGCTGATGAGGAGAAACACAGATGCTCTTTGAATGAAAGAAAGATTCCTTTCCTTTAAATTTTATTTCCCTTTATTTACTTTACATCCCAAGGGTGCTTCCTCCTTCCTCTCCACTCAGCCACCCTTCCTATTCCTTTCCTTATCCAACCTTTTCTCTCTCCTCCCCCATCAGAAAAGGGGAGCCACCCTCCCTCATATCAAACCTCCCCAGCACATCAAGTCACATCAAGACTGAGCATATATACTCATGGCCTGAGGCCAGGCAAGGCAGCCCTGCCGGGGGGGAAAGCCATTCAAAAGCAGGCAACAGAGTCCATGTTAGGAAGAGCTCCCACCTCCCTCCACTCACCAGGTGCTCCCCATGAAGACCAAGCTGCTCATTGACGGCCTGTGTGCAATGACCTAGGTCCAGACCATGCATGCTCCTTAGTTGATATCTCAGTCTCGTAAGCCCCCACGTGTCTGGGTTGTTTCTGTTGGTCTTCTTGTGAGGTTCTTGTCCCTTGCAGGTCCTCCTATCTTCCCCCCAACACTTCCATAGGAAGCTCTGCCCATTCTTGGGTGCAAGTCTCAGCATCTGTCTAGATCCCCAGCTGGATGGAGCCTCCCAGAGCACAGTCAATTTAGGCTCCTATTGCAAGCAGAGCAGAGCATCATTAACATTTTCAAATGCTGGCTCTCTACCACGGGTGGGTCTCAGGTTGGGCCAATTATTGGTTGGGCATTCCCTCCATCTTTGTTTCTTCTTTATCCATGAACTTCCTGTAGGCAGGGAATTTTCCCATGAAAGGTTTTGTCAGTGGGTTGTGCCCCTTCTTAAGCTAGTCCTGCCTGGCTAGGAGGTGGTCACTTCAGTCTTCATGTCCTCCCCTGTTAGGAGTCTCAGCTACAGTCACACCCATGTCCTACCTGGAGCCTACCTTACTGCCGGCCTCCAGTTTGACAAAGAGATCCCTCCCCCCTTAGTTTCCCTTCTTGTTCCCAGCCCTCTCACCTCACCCCTGTTCTCCCCACATCTGCTCTCCTCTTTCCCTCCCCATTCCATCTCCTGCCCGGTTCCCTCTCTTCATCCACTTCTGCTGTCCATTCTATTTCCCCTTCTGAGCGACATTCTGACACCCTCCCCTGGGCCCTCCTTGTTACTTAGCTTCTTTTGGTCCTTGTAGGACAGTTATCGTGTATTGTATGGCTAATATCTGCTTATAAGTGAATATATACTATTCGTGTCTTTCTGGTTCTGGGTTACTTCACTCAGGATGATCTTTTCTAGTTCCACCCATTTGCCTGCAAATTTTACAATGCTTTTGTTTTTAATAGCTGGATACTATTCCATTGTACAAATGTACCACAATTTCTGTATCCATTCTTTGGTTGAGGGACATCAAAGTTTTTTCTAGTTTCTGGCTATTCTGAGTAAATGCACTATGAACATAGTTGAGCAAATGTTTTTGTATGGTGGAGCATCTTTTGGGTATATGCCTAGGAGAGGTATAGCTGGGTCTTGAGGTAGAACTCTTCCAAATTTTCTGAGAAAGTGCCTGATTGATTTTTCGAGAGTTTGTTCAAGTTTGCACTCCCACCAGCAAAGATCTTCACCAATCCTACATCAGGCAGAAGGCTAATATTCAAACTATACTAAGAATTTAAGAAATTAAACACCAACAAATCAAATAATCCAATTAAGATGGGGTAAAGAGCTAAACTGAGAGTTCACAACAGAAGAATCTCGAATGGCAGAGAAACACTAAAAGAAATGCTCTATGTCCTTAAGCTATCAGAGAAATACAAATCAAAACTGCTCTAAGATTCCATTTTATACCAGTCAGAATGGCTAAGATAGGGGGAAGGGTGGGGGGCTGGTAGGATTGGAAGGAGACTAGGGATGGGGCCCCAGCTGGGATACAAAGTGAATGAATTGTAATAAGAAAAAAAAAAAAAACTTAAAGGACAACACATGCTCGTGAGGATGTGGAGAAAGAAGAACGGCTCTATGATATTCATGAATTAAAATTACAACTTTTATGTATATTTAATTTTTAAGGAAATCTGCAGAATTAAAATCATGTGAAACAATGAAAAACTCTTCACAGCAGGGACGTGGTACATCATGTCCCTGTTTAGTACTGGAAAAGCACTAAATAAATAATGCTAGCAACATGAGATCTAGAATGATGATAGTTTTATTCATGTAAAAGTAGAGGAAGAAATAGGCAACTGGAAATTTGCAGCTTCCCAGGAGAATTCTAGCAAACATTTAGAAAGGAATATAAATTCTTCCACACTCCCTTCTAGAAAACTAAATTCTCAACTACTCATGAAGAGTAAATAGATTTTTGCAATATCAAAATCAGAACAACATAACCAAGCATTAAAAACTTGGGCATTTTCCCACATGCACAGATAGCTGCCGTTTGTCTGAGTTGGAGACAAGTGGATCATTGGGGATTGCTGGCTGCCATTCCAATTGAAAAGTCTGTTCTCTAAGTTCAAGGAGAGACTCTGTCTTAAAGGAATATGGCAAAGAGTGATACAGGACACTTGATATCTTTTTCTGAAATCTGCACAAGTATACACATACCACACATACACACACACATTCATAAAAGACAGAGAGAGACAGAGTGAGATAGAGAGACAGAGAAACACAGAGAAAATTTTAGCAAATAAAATCCAACAATATCTGAACCACAAAATATATCCTAATGATTTATTCAAAAATGAAAATATCAAGCATTGTAGTTTCTCATAAAATAGAGTAGCTGAATAAAGTCTTGATAATCAAACATTAAATAATCTCAAGAGTCATAAAGGTATTTGACAAAGTATAATATACTTTTTCTTTTAAAAACCACCAACCCACACAGAACTTCTTAGCCCTGTAAAATGAGCCATGATTCTTGAACAGGAAGCATTACACTTCCTAGTGCAACTCTTTCCTTATTATTGCTTACAGCTGCCACCACCTGTCTGTACCTAAAGTGCATTTGTTAAATCCTGTGGCTTTCGGGGCCTGCCATGTGGGATGGGACTGGACCACGGCTTTTATTTCGAGATATTTCAAAAGCTTTGTGGGCAGTCTAGTAGCCTACCAGCACTCTCTGAAAATCAGGTGGGACACATGCTTTTATCTCGAAGCTTATGGAGAATCATGTTCTCACCATCTGAGCTTTCCCGTTATGCTTCCAGCAGCACAGGAGTATGAAATAAAGTTAGAGAAAACTGTGGTTCGCATTCTTCTTCTTCTCTCGGGGGTACTGGGCAGGGAAGGATAAAGGAGAGTCCAGAACAGACGGCATCTGCAAGATTCAGATCCAGCTGGGAGTGTGGAAGAAGTCCTTCTCTGAGGATTTCAGTATTACAGCTCTCTTAGTTCAGAGATATTCCAGCGAAACAGCAACTCTCACGCGGTAATTAATGAAACAGCTTATGCCCCTTTATCCAGGTAGACACATGCTGGTGATGCTTTATTTGCATCCAGGTGCCAGGCTATGTGGCTAACCTGTGACCACCTAGAGAAATGCAGGGTTGGGAGTCACCAGGCCACGTGCCCCTGGACATGTAGGCATGGAAGCAGGGGTCAGGCCGCCCTACTTCTGTTGGTCTCAGGATGAAATTTTTGTTCTCAAGTCTGAGGTTTTTGAGGTTTGGACACATGTCTGACCTCACTCTAGCTCCATGCCTGTTTTCCCCAGTCACCTGGCCCCAAGCCCCACAACTCCTCATTGTTTTCAAAAGAGGGGTCATCATAGTCATTGCCTGGACCAGAGAATGATCAGCAGTGATTTTGCAATGTTACTCTTCTGCCTTTTTAAAAATCAGATGAGGCATGGTACCAGGAGGAGTATGAAGCCAAGGAGGGGAAGAAGCCAAGCCACCAAATGGTTTGAATACAACGGGGTAGGGGTGTTGGAAACATAGCGTGCCTGGAGATCTTGCTGGAGAGCTTTGAACATGTCTTGTTCCACCAGCCAAGATTCATTGACACAGAAGCACACCGCCCCCCCCACCCCCAACATAATACAAATCTCTCCCTGTTCAGCAGTCAGTAAGTTCAGGGCTCTCTGGTTTTGGACAACACTCCCCACCAACCCCCGCTAGGGAGGTGATCTATTGTTGAAGGGACTTTAGACTGTCTGCAGAGGAAGCCATTGCCTGGTCAGGCTTGTCCTGGAAGTCGCTGGCCAGATAGTGTGTTTGGACAGGGCTGCTCCAG